TTTAGGTTGCTTCCATGACCTGCCTATTGTAAATAGTGCTGCAATGACCATTGGGGTGCATGTGTCTTTTTGAATTATGGTTTCCTCTGGGTATATGCCCAGTAGTGGGATTGCTGGGTCATATGGTAATTCTATTTTTAGTTTTTTAAGGAACCTCCATACTGTTCTCCATAGTGGCTGTATCAATTTACATTCCCACCAACAGTGCAAGAGGGTTCCCTTTTCTCCACACCCTCTCCAGCATTTGTTGTTTGTAGATTTTCTGATGATGCCTATCCTAACTGGTGTGAGGTGATACCTCATTGTAGTTTTGATTTGCATTTCTCTAATAATTAGTGATGTTGAGCAGCTTTTCATGTGCTTCTTGGCCATCTGTATGTCTTCTTTGGAGAAATGTCTATTTAGGTCTTCTGCCCATTTTTGGATTGGCTTGTTTGTTATTTTAATATTGAGCTGCATGAGCTGTTTATATATTTTGGAAATTAATCCTTTGTCTGTTGATTCATTTGCAAATATTTTCTCCCATTCTGAGGGTTGTCTTTTCGTCATGTTTACGGTTTCCTTTGCTGTGCAAAAGCTTTGAAGTTTCATTAGGTCCCATTTGTTTATTTTTGTTTTTATTTCCATTACTCTAGGAGGTGGATCAAAAAAGATCATGTTGTGATTTATGTCAAAGAGTGTTCTTCCTATGTTTTCCTCTAAGAGTTTTATAGTGTCTGGTCTTACATTTAGGTCTCTAATCCATTTTGAGTTTGTTTTTGTGCATGGTGTTAGGGAGTGTTCTAATTTCGTTCTTTTACATGTAGCTGTCCAGTTTTCCCAGCACCACTTATTGAAGAAACTGTCTTTTCTCCATTGTATATCCTTGCCTCCTTTGTCATAGATTAAGGTGCATCATGTCATTGACCATAGGTGTGTGGGTTTATGTCTGGGCTTTCTATCCTGTTCCATTGATCTATATTTCTGTTTTTGTGCCAGTACCATATTGTCTTGATTACTGTAGCTTTGTAGTGTAGTCTGAAGTCAGGGAGTCTGATTCCTCCAGTTCCATTTTTTTCCCTCAAGACTCCTTCGGCTATTCAGGGTCTTTTGTGTCTCCATACGAATTTTAAGATTTTTTGTTCTAGTTCTGTTAAAAATGCCATTGGTAACTTGATAGGGATTTCATTGAATCTGTAGATTGCTTTGGGTAGTATAGTCATTTTCACAATATTGATTCTTCCAAGCCAAGAACATGGTATATCTCTCCATCTGTTGGTATCATCTTTAATTTCTTTCATCAGTGTCTTATGGTTTTCTGCATACAGGTCTTTTGTCTCCCTAGGCAGGTTTATTCCTAGGTGTTTTATTCTTTTTGTTACAATGGTAAATGGCAGTGTTTCCTTAATTTCTCTCTCAGATTTTTCATCATTAGTTTATAGGAATGCAAGAGATTTCTCTGCATTAATTTTGTGTCCTGCAACTTTACCAAATTCATTGATTAGCTCTAGTAGTTTTCTGGGGGCATCTTTAGGATTCTCTATGTATAGTATCATGTCATCTGCAAACAGTGTGAAGTCTACCACTTCTTTGGTATATGATCATGTGTAAATTTCTGGAACTTCCTATATCACATTTTCCCCATCCACAATGGAAAGATACTAAGCACATCTACTTCAGAGTTTTGTTCTAAGGGTTAAATGAGATCATGTGAAACACTCAGCATAGACTTGGCAATTAATAAGCATGCCATAATGTAAGATGCTACTATTAAATTTTAGGTTTCTTTTGGAAACCCAGTTCTTTCTCCAGGCATTGTTTACCTCCACTGATGTGACTAAGAAGTCCCTGGCCCCAGCTCTCTTATTATAATTTTGCATACAAACTCTAAAACACTGGACTCTTTTTCTAGGTGAACACTTCCTTAGTCATCTCACTCAAATTTTCCTCTTTTCTATATTACAAAAAGGACAAAACCCAGTATTTTCTTTTCTCATGCCATACTTTTATGTAACATCTAGACATCAGAGAAGCAAAGCAATACATATTACAACAATAGGTTTTGATGATGTACAATTTAGTTGGTCATCACGTAGTTTAAAGGCCTCTTTAATGGCCTATATGGGAAATATAAATCTAAAAAAGAGTGGATATAGTGTATGTACAACTGATTCACTTTGCTTTACACATGAAACTAACTCAACATTGTAAATCAACTATACTTCAATAAATTTTTTTTCAAATTCCAAATATATTAACATACATAAAACTAAAAACAATCTAATTTAAAAATATTAGGATAAAACATAGAAGAATATTAATAAAATACCCTGATGAATTGGTCTTTGTAATCTTGGTAAGCAACTTTTATCCATAAAACAAAGATTGACAGATTGTTTTATAAAAAGTATTCTCATGTACAAAATACACCGTAAACAGAAGCAAAAAAATATTTTCAAAAATATGGTAGACAGAAAACTAATATAAATTTCATGTAAAGTGCTTTAGCATATTAATAAAAAGAAAACCCAAACAATTTGGAAAGGATATGAACAGTAGGCAAAATGGAGATATGGCCAGTGAAAATTTATAAATATGCTCAACTTCATGGCTGGTCAGGATAACACAAGTGAAAACATTAAGATGTCATCTTTACCCCATCACATTGGTAAACCTGAAAGGACCTATCTAAAGCTAGTAAGGATATGGGGTAATTGACATTCTTTTATACTGTTCATAAGAATGTGAATTTTTAGCACCTAAAATGTACTTACTCGTTATCTCAGTGATCCTATCCTTCTTCTGGGAATCCATCCCAGAAAACACCAATACATAAGGATAGAGTACAAGGATGTCTACTATTGATAACATATATTGTTAATGTAAGTTAATTGTTAAAAATGTATTTTTATCAATTACAAGTCAGTAAAAACTTCTTGAATCAAATATGGTACATTTAAACTATGGAATGTAATGAATCTATATTAAAAATAATTGGTAGATAGCTATACCCTTGGGAAAATGTTCATGATATTTTTTAAGTGAACAATGGAAATTACCGATACTTACATACATATATGATCATGTATTTTTTTCTTCCAGTTTTATTGAGATATAAATGACATACAGCACTTTTTAAAGTTTAAGGTGTACAGCATAAGGATTAACTTACATACATCATGAAATGATTACCACAATAAGTTTAGTGAATATCCATCATCTTATATAGATACCAAATAAAAAAAAATTTTCTTGTGATGAGAACTCAGGATTTACTCTCACCAACTTTCATATGTAACATACAGCAGTGTTCCTTATATTAATCATGTTGTACATTATGTCTCTGGTACTTATTTATCTTATAAAGGAAAGTTTGTACCTTTTGACCACCTTTGTCACCATACAAAAATGTTACATTATTCTAGACTATATTCCCCACACTGTACGTTTCATCCCCATGACTGACTCATTACTCATTTATTTTGTAACTAGAAGTTAGTACCTCTTAATTTCCCTCACCTATTTCACTCATTTCCCCACAACCCTCTCCTCTGACAACCACCGGTTTGTTCTCTGCAACTATGGCTCTGTTTCTGTTTTGTTATGTTTGTTCATTTGTTTTGTTTTTTAGATTCTACATATAAGTGAAATTGTATTTTTCTGTCTGACGTATTTCACTTAACGTAGCACCCTCTAGGTCCATCCATGTTGTTGTAAATGCCAAGATTTCATTCTTTTTTATGGCTGAGTAACATTCCATTTTATGTTTATATACCACATCTCCTTTATCCATCCATTTATTAATGGGCACTTAGGTTGCTTCCATATTTGTCTATTGTTAATAATGCTACAATGAACATAGGGGTTCATACATATTTTTGAATTAATGGGGCTTTTTTCTTTAGAAAAATACCCGGAAGTGGAATTGCTGGATTGTATGGTAATTCTATTTTTAATTCTTTGAGGAACCTCCATACTGTTTTCCATTCTGGCTACACCAATTTGCATTCCCACCAACAGTGCACGAGGGTTCCCTTTTCTCCACATCCTCACTAACATTTGTTATTTGTTATCTTTTTGTTAATAGCCATTTTGACAGGTGAGAGGTGATATCTCATGGTTTTGATTTGCATCTCCATGATCATGAGTGATGTTGAGCATCTTTTCATGGGTCTGTTGGCCATCTGTATGTCTTCTTTGGAAAAATGTCTGTTCAGATCCTCTGCCCATTATTTAACTGGGTTGTCTCTTTTTTGGATGTTGAGTTGTATGAACTGCAACAGCACACTCTCTGTGAGAGTCTGACACACCTATAGTGTGTGAGAGAGATGACAGTTTTGTGCATCTTGAGGTGGAGTTGTAAGAGTTTCTTTTAAATATTTGTGAAGAATTTGGATTTCTTTGTGTATTTTTCTCAGGAAACGGTCCACAGCTTTCATCAGATCCTTAAGAGGATCTGTTCCTCAAAATAGTTTAAGACACTCTGTTCCTAACACCCTGTAAACACGACAGAAGTGGGCGTCTCATGACATAATAGACATAGTACCCGTGACTGTGAATGTGAATGTTCTATGACATCTTTTCTAGGGAAAAGAATTTGTAAAAGGAAAAAGGATTCTGAGAAGCTTTGGCAGGGATCCGTCTCTCAGCCATCTGTATCTCCCTTCCTCCTCCTCAGTCTCCTACTGTTCCCATCTCCTCTCAGTCAGGCAGGTAATTGGAAGTAGAGGAAGCGCTGCTCTGGAAGGTGAACCCTATCCCTTGAAAACTTACTAAGGACCTGCCAGTAACCCACCAAATCTGTTCAGCAAAGTCTTCGAAGACTGCCTTGGTTCTGTGACTAAAGGCAGGCAGAGCAGTGGCAGGAACCAAAGAATATACAATATTCTTTTTCTGATTTCTTTCCCAGAGCTGGCATGGGAGAGATAAAAACTGGGTCTGAGTCATTTTCTATAATCACTCCACACCCTGCTAGTTCTCATAACATGCCTCTGTGGATGATTAATGTGTTTACAAGCAGATGGTTTTTTATGAAGCATTTATTGACCCTTATTATTAAGATGCGTGTGTTTCACTGGAAGCATCTGCTCTGAGGCCTTTAAAGTACATGATGATCAAAACAGGCATGCACATGGAAGGAGTATTCTGTCCATGGACCACAAGCAGGTAAGCTCAGCATGCCAAATAGTGACGAAATAAGGGGGAAATACAATGGAAAAACACACTTGAGAAAAGTATTACATAAAATAATTTACTTCTCATTCAGAATGACTTTCCAGACCTATTGGTGAGACAGCAGTCTGTGAGTACAGATACAATCTGAAAGTCATAACAGTTCTAATAGGGCAAGACCAATAGAGTTACCACGTTTGGATCCTGGAGTTAACTAGAGACAAAGTGTGGAACTGCATATAACAGAAAGGGGCACTGATGAGGAACTCTGGGGACACTGAAAGCAAGACTGCCAGAGAGACAAAAAGTGTACAACTGAGGAAACCTATACCTTTAATACATTGAGATTCGTATACACACACTCCGGTGTCTTCATTTTGCAGCCTATTACATCTAATGGCTTAAAAGCCACAAAGGTGCCCATGCATGTAACTTATACTGGAAAAATCCTTTCAGTGTTCAGGTATGCATGTGTGTGCACTCCAAAGGCAGTAGTTTTAAAAGAATGAGAAGAAAATTACTTCCTGGCCATTCATTAATAATTCAGGTGATATCCTGCACCTCCATTTATAAAACGATACAGTAATAAAAACATTGTACAAAACATCATAAATAACATAAAGGAGACATTTTCAAGTATTTCATGTGCCTTGAGAAAAGTTCTAAACAGTAGTTCTAAAAATTGGTATCCGTTTTTCCTTTTTTATTTTCTTTTCTCTCTCATTTCATCTCAGAGCCTAGAAAGAAATGCCTTCAGTCTGTGAGTCCTGATGTTTGGGATGGAATGAACCAGATTCTACCTTCAAAAGAGAAACTTATGAGGGCTTTTCAGTTTGTGAAAACATGTTCCCCCCTTATAAAATAGAATCTCTCCCCTGATGCTGGTTTATAAGGAATAGGCAAATAGCCTAGAGCCATTATGGGGAAACAAACGACCACAGTGAACTAAGGAGCCTCATCTGATGGCTAAAGTTCTCAGGGAAAAGCAAAATGAGAAGAGCACCTTAATCAAGAGAGGAAAAAAGAGTAGGGGATAAGAATATTAATCTTTAAATCCTGTGCCCTTACTCAGCCAGCATCTTATAGTAGGTAGAGCTGGCGAGGCCCTACCTAAGTTTCTTCATTCTGTTCAAGCACCTCATCTCCAACTCCATACCAATCTGGCTCCCACTATTATGCAGCAAGCACCCAAGCAAGGAAGGGGAGGCCAGCAGCTTGGGGACTCAAAAGTGCCATTAGTGATAACCAGCTAAAGACAGCCCTGTGTCAGGCAGGCATAAGATCCTTTATGTTTGCGCCGTAGAATACTGTCCAACTTGGAGGCTGTCGGTGGTCAAACTAAGCATGAAATCCCTGGGATGTTTCTCTAGCAAAACTCATGGAGTTTTACAGAATCAACTTTCCACAGGTTAGCATTCCTTTCTTAGCCTGCAGAGCAGCTGGTTTAGTTTGCCCTGTTCAGTTGCAGAGTGAAAGACTGGGGATCAGAACACGCATGTATGTATGTACACACACTCTAGTTATGAGCACCTAGGGTCTTTCCTGCCATTCTTGCAGAAATATATATGTATGTATATATACATACATCTATACAGAATGTGTGTATGTACATATGTACATGGGTATATATATATACACACACACACATGCACACACACATGTACATAAAGTAGATCAACCTCATCTAAACATCTCGAGTTTGGAGAAAGTGCTGGTTAACAGAACACATGTGCCTGTGGATGTCACATGAAGTGTCCCAACCACCAACCCACCAACCTGAGGTCACACTGTTGGCAGGAGAGAAAATCCAGACCCACAAGGCCATTATTTGGATACTTGCTCACATGGCACCCTAAAAGAAATTTGGGAAAATTGGACTGGAATGAGGTCCTGCCCTGATGAACACCAGAACACCAAAACAAAATCTAGTTTTTGTATGGGAGTGACTCACACATAGCCAGCAGCATGAACACTAGGCTACGATGTGAAGAAAGCACTGATGCTTAATACAGATCAATATTTGGCCTCAGGTTTTCCAGGCATAGAGTCTTGGCATTTCAGCCTCCGCCACTGAGCAAGAATTAGGCACACTGGGGCACCAGGGAAGGACAGTCTGTAGAACTTTTGGCTCCTTTCTGCTTCTCTGACCCACAGCTGGAAAGGTTGGCCAAATCAAGATAGAATCGGGACTTGAGGAAGCGGCGGTATGAATCCTTTTCCATCAGGTTGAAAATCTTCTTCTGAGCCTCATCAAAGCAGGTTATCGTAGGCTCCAGCATGTTACGACTTGTCTCCTCCCTGGTGCAAGAGTCCAGGTTTACCTAAGGGGCAGAGTCCAAGGCTTCATTAGACATTCTACCCCATAAGGATGGGAGGCTGCATGCTTTGTACTGTGTGCACTCTCTATACCCCAGAAGTGAAAAAAAAGGACATTCAGCTCGACCCTGGCACATGTGAGAGAACATAAAATGTTCAACTGCTTCAGGGCGGGTAGGGCAATAACTTCAATGATTTCTCACAAACTTGGGATATTCCTCCAAAGAAATTCATGACGGGAGATCATCTGGATGAAAGAGCTTTTTACTTAACTTATTTATTTGGGGTTGTCAAGACTGTAATAACCTGCTTCACTGTTGTACCTTTAACTCACATCGTCTAAGGATCCATGCCATTGAATGTCTAGGAAATTTCACTAGGATGCAGACAGTTCTTTGCCACGCAGACCTACCTCTTTGGTTGCCTGGACTGAGATGAATTCATTATAGATCTTTTTGGCCTTGGGACTTAGTTTAGAGGGTGATTTGATTTTCTTGTACTCTTCACAGCTGATCCAGAAGTCAATGTTCTCCTCACTGTATTCAGACTTCAAGAAAGCTTTGAAAGCGGCCAGTCCACCTGTGACAGAGGAGAAAGAAGCACTGTGGTCATCACAGTGACTGCCCTCGTGGGCGCTGTATTGCAGATAAAGCTGGGGTGCGTGAGGGAACAAACAGTGCCCTATTTCCTCCTTTTGGGAGGTCACTGGAGGTCAGATGTTTGAAGTCTCTCTCGAGAAAGCATTATGTTTCTGAAATGCCTATGCTGCCCTCAGTTGCCAAAGTGAGTTTGGGGAAGAGAAACTGAGGTCGATTCTGCAAGAAATCTCAATATTTGGGGGTTTTCCTCTACCCATTTTCTATGTGATGAAAGAGATGGTGGTTTTCCACATGGATTGTGTATGAGCTTTCTACTGTATATCACAAAGCTCTAGGATATGGTAAAATTTTAAGCAGGCTGATTTTCTTGAGTCTGAAATGCAGAAGAAATCCAAGGCTTTCTGTAATTCCTACGAGATCAGGCATAATATGAGATAACTTGTCTATCCAGTGTGCTTTATCTTCATCCCAGGGAGTGGAGGTTGGGGGAGAAGCTGTCATACTTACATTCATGACTAATCAGGTTTTCCAGTGATTCAGCCCACTTTTTGACTTCCTCTTGGCTCACCCTAGAGACATTACAGAGAAAGAATAACCTGAATGCTAGGATACAAAATGGGGGCAAAACATTTAAGATCCTGAATAAAACCCAGAGATTTTATTTTCCATCATTACGCTGAGACCTGTCATTGCACAGGGCCGTCTTTCCACTAGATGTATGGAAATTTCAAATGCAAACGTGATCTCCATGGAAATGGAGGCCATCATGATCCAAATCTAGGTTAACTAGGGACATAACTTCCTCTTCTCCTTACAGAACATCTCTGTCATCAGATAGTTAATACGCAGTGGCTCTTTGCCAAGGCCTTTTCTCTTACCTCTGACAAATCACCACTTTGTCCCTCTTGCTGTGGGAAGAATTATGTTCACAGGAATCAGACTTCTGCAGCAAGAAACCGAGCCGATGTTTCATATCTTTTGCACTGCACAGACGAGGGGAAAAAAAAAAAAAAAAGAATAATGATACACAGCTCTCTTTAGAAGATACCCTAATGGTACAGTTCAAAGGGCTCATCACTAGTAAAGGGGCAGGGGTAATTTATTTAGGATATAGGAGTTGAAGCTGGCAAGAACTCTCAGGAAAATGAGATTCTGCTTCTGCTTCTGCCTATGACTTACTGCAAAACCTGGAGCACAGCCTCCTTCATCAGTAACTGGAATTCTGACCCTTCAGTCTACCTGCGGAGCCTCTTCTGTAAACCTGTCATTTTGACCAAAGGAACACTTAGGTATCTTCAGCAGAAACACATTCAAAACTTGACTATTCTCTGAGTAAGTTTTAGATACTGGAGAGCAAGCAGTGAACGGTGAAATATAGCACTTGCTTGTTGTGCGCCACCTTCTGGAGGGTAGTTGCTACTTCCATCTGCCTCACTGCTAGCAGAGCAATGGAGAAGAACCTGAGGAAGTAAGGGTTTGTTCAATTCCAGCCTGGATGTGGTGAGCAAGTCACATTATGGAGGTGTGCAGCTCCAGCAGAGAGGAGTGGAAAATGAGGGGGTAAACACAAATGTTCAGGCTGAAACCTGAGCTCCTGCAGGTTTGCTTCTAAGGAAAACAAGCTTTCCTGCTATTGCTACTACTTTCCTTTTTAACATCTACACTATAAGGATATTTACACTATAAAGCACATTTGAGGCTTAAAAACAATAATAAGGAGAAGCAAGCAAGAGTCATCACTGAAGCTCCTGATTGTTTAATTGGAGCAGAGCTTCCAGCTTATGGTCACTGTTTAATAGGTCGCTAGGGTACGGCAGGGCATGTGACTCATTCAAAAAGGAGGACCTTTTAATAAGCTTTGAGCTCAACCTCCTCACTTTTCGTTATTTATTCTTTTGCTTGGATCTCTTTTCTTATAAAAGCTGAGATACAGTTTTAAAGGAGAAATGTTGTTTTGAAGGAAATGAAAGACTAAATGAATGACGAGTTGTTCCTGTTTAGAGGGAGGAAAGTGAAGCCACAAGGATAAAAGGACATTTTAGGATGGCTACTGATATAATAATGCCTTATCTATGTGCATTTCTCCAGAAAGTTTAAAATCCATTATATTATTGTGCTGCCCCTAAAACAGTATCTTCTTTCCCTCACAAGACTGTTCTCCCTCCTCTGTTTCCCCAAGTGGTCACGGGATACAAAATCTTCCTTAATGATAGCAAGATCTAATCATGAAGCCTGCAGTGATTCTAAGGTGATAATGTAAGTATATTGTGATTGGGTCAAAACAGAAATCATCTCATATTTCCATATGCCAGGTCCAGCTGAGATCTGACAGTTATTGACCAACGCAGAATCTTTTCGTGAAGACTTGAAAGTACTCTTAGCAAGTACATTACACTTGTCCTAATAACACAATAGAACCATAGAAATAAAAACCAAGATGACTCCACTGACCTCTGAAGTAAAAAACCTGGATTTGATCTGCACTCTGCCACCCACCACCTACGTGACCTTGAGCATTTCACGTTCCCTCTGGAGCCTCAGGCACCCATGTGAGAATGACGGTGCTGGACAAGATGATTCACAGTTCACCAGTGAGGAAAGGGAAGAGCAGTTGACCCTGCTGATATAGAGTTTACCTCCCCAGGTTAGCCTCTTAGCTCCTGGAAGGCAAAGCTCTAGAGCAATTACTCACCTGTCTCCTAAAATATTTACCAGAGCATAACCTTCTCCTGACACTCCTGTATTTTGTATGATTAATTTTCTAGATGAGTTAACTGAAGCTTGGATTGACTTGCTCTATTCAGTTCAGGAAATTAATGGTGGAGGTCAGGGCCACTGTTTTCATAAGTACTGTCTGCCAGACCCTCCTGATTCATTTTAAAGTAGCCATGAAAGAATGAAAAAAAAAAAAACAGATTATTTTTTCATGCTCCTGAATGACAGGAGGTAAACTCCTTAGGATTATACAAAAGACTGTGCTTTCTGAGATAATTCTCAATTGAAATTTAAGGTGACTTCACCTGCAAATTTAAGGTTTGCACAGGAACAAGGGGGGGGTGGTACATGTACAAATTGACTTTTTACTTTATAAGATTAAGTAATGTAATATGCACTAGTTTTGTAGTTTTTAAGCTAATATATGAGCATTCTATGAAAGCATTTATTTATATCTTTTTTAAAACGGCAAAGACATATGAGTAGCTGCATATCTTTAAGGTTTTTTTTTTTTTAATCAAGAGACAGTACTTTGACAAAACAATGTCTTTAAGATGAGATCTTCCACAGAGCCCTTAGCTGATTTGCTATGATCAATACTTCTCAACCACCAATCACATATGGCATTTCGAGAACTAGAGGTAGGGGCAGAGAGATAAGGGAGACCTAGTTTTGAAACTCTTATTTTATTGTAGCATTTGCTTATAAGGACACAGAGTGAAAGATACTGCAGCATCACACAGACAGCATAGTGCCTTTCTGGTGATGTAGCCAAACTTCATTCTGAGGTATCCTCCCCAAAACGAGATCTAGTATACAATAAGAAAGCCCAGACCCATGATTCTACGTACCTCAGTGATATTCAAATAACAGTAACATAGGTAGAGACATTACAGACCACTGTATACAGTCCAAAAACCTCATATCACTTCTTAATTAGAACTAGCTTGGTCAGAGGATCAGAACAGTCCTCAAGACCAAGGTCATAGAAAGCAACATATGGGATGCCAAAATTTGGAGTGAACACTTCCCAGGTCACAATTTCTAGCTAGTCTTGAAGGAAAGCTAGGGGGCTGATGCTCTCCTCACCACATTGTTTCTAATTCCAAAGAACCAGGTTAGTAAGTAGGATATGCAAATAACTTAAAAAGTCTATCTGAAAGTTTAACACTATCTGGTTTAGTGGCTGAAAATAATCTTACCTCCTCAAGCAAGAAGCCGGCAGACCTGCAAGTCCTTTGCACATCTTGTGTAGTGTGGGATTCACGTTAGGAAAGAAATGCAGCAGGAAGAGCTGTGGCTTCTCTTCTGAGCACACTTTGCCTTTTCTCCGGTAAAGATACTGTCAGAATCCTCTGAGCTTCTCCCTCCCAAGCCTGCAGGGGTCTCATTTATAGCCCAGCCAAGACCGTCCAGCCAATCAGATGGCAGCTCTGTAATACCATCTCCTCTCAGCCTCCTTCTGCCTCTCCAGCCTCTGGAAGAGATAAGGAAGAAAGGGCTGACGCAACAATGCAAAGTGAACAGGCAGAAAAATCCTCCTGCAAAGTAGACATACAGAAAATATAAACTTGCTCAGTGCTCTACGGATGTCTGAGGTTTTGAATGTCCAGAAAAGGAAAAGATAGGTTTACAATGCTACAAAACATGGGGTTTATTCATTGTCTGTAAAAACAATGCCAAGGGAACTTGCCTCCTGGAGGGAAAGGGGCTAGCAGGAGTTCATGGGCTTACTTTGGGGCTGACTCTCAATGCACTTCCTCCTTTGGATTAGAAATATTATTTCATACATGGTCTAAAATCTGATCCTCACTGTTTCCAAAAGGGAGTGGGCAGGATCCATCATTTCCAGGCAGGGATTTGCAGAAGTTGCTTTCTCTGTTGCCATGTTCACACAGGGATGTGCGGGAAGAATAGCTGAAAGACAGACAGTTATGCACCTGGCAGCAGAGAAAACTAGCTGAGGGAAAATAGATTAGCTACATCTGTAATCAGCCTAACTGTGGAATACTTTTCTAGAACTCTTATTAAGAACAGGACTCATCCAAGCATTGCCAATCTCTTTGGTACATGCCTGCCTCCAGCAAAATGCTTCAAAACAGCAGCCGGAAGACAAGAGGAGGGAACAAATGAACAAATATAGACACCTGTTCTTATCTGTAAGTGGATTTATATCTTACTATGTCTTATGCAATTCTAGGTATCCAAACTAGTATTTCAAAATATTGAGAAACAGTGAGACAGGGAGAGAAGAAACATAGGTAGTTTGCTTTGCATGTTACCAGGGTCACAGTGAACATAAGAATATCTAACCCTGCAGGTGCTTCTGAACCAACCTGGACAATTACTATCTTTGGTACACAATATGATGGATTGAATACTTCAAAGAATCATGCAGGTGTTTCACATCTTGTAGTCGTAGCTCAAATACTCACATCAAAGTTACAGAGGGATCTTCTCCGTCTAGGAAGGCTATGAGTGGAAGGAGAAAATTAATTGCTATGTCAGAACTGAACAGCTTTCATTCTGAAAGCAGAAAGGTTCCTGATCACTGTACTTCTATTACAAGAAGCTGAGGCATCTAAGGGTTTAGGCGAAGAAGATGAAAAATAGATGGGTTCCAGTGAGATGCAAAGGCACCCAAGAATATAGAAGGGAAAGTGGTAAAGAGCAAGGCCCCTACCACATACATGACCCTGAACATCCCTCACTGCTAGCCCCTGTCTATGGCTAGCAGAACAAGGAGATGGCCGAGAAATCTAAAAGCTTAGCGAGACCATAAACTCCAGGAGATGCATTTAAATTACAGGAAAAATCTCTGGTCTTCTCCCATGAAGACAGAAAAAAATGTATTAGATTAGCTACTGGGCAACTTTTCTTTGAGGTATAACATAGAACAAATGAATTTCTTTGGGAAGTTGGCAGCCATCCTCAGTGGTGTTGTGGAAGGGACTACCGCCCAATGCAAAATGCAAGAGGCCAAGGAAGGTAGACCCAGGGAGATAAACCAGTCAGAAATGGCATCAAAGAGGAGGGGGGACTAATTAAGAGGGAGAGATGGTCACCCTAAGGTGGACCAGGGCCTTCTTTGCTTACCTGGGCATCCAAGATAGTGATCACTTAAATAATCTGATTTTGGGAACATGAATGAAGACCTGATGGGAACTTGATATCTTGGACCTAGATCAAAGAGAAGCCTGGTTTGTCATGAGTTAAATATAAATATTCAGATGAGCTGAATGGGATTTAAGACAATCTAGACTAACACCTTAATTTTATCAGAAAGGAAACAGAGAGGGAAAGTGACTTGCCTTCTTACTAATAGAGCTGGTTTCTTGATGCTATAGTATGTGGCTTTTCTACTGCTAACCTATCACTCATTTGTCTTATCTAATGAGATAAACTATGTAAACAGAGGTATTTCTAAATTGTAAAGTGCTACGCAAATATTTTTTTTGTTTACATTATACACAGTAGATAACAAAATGTAATATTACTTTTATACTCTTCATTCAAGGAAAACTCACCCTGCCCAATTTTCTCTTGCTCCATAACTGCAGGAGTTGCCGCAAACCTCACGGCTCTGGTTTTCTATTAAAACTAGGTCTTTTTAACTTTATGACTAGTCCATTAATCTGTGAGAGCATTTTGTATTTATTCACTTCTTTATGATTTCTCGCTTTCTTAGGAGTTTTAATATTTTAAAGAGTGTTTGGGAAAGCTTTTCATAAGTTAACTTATTTTTCATTTGGGATGCGAGGACTGGTACATCATGATAACCTGACAATTTTCCACCCTCTTTCCCCGACATACACAAAGCATTAAATTCTATTATTCTATGACTTGTCATTTCTGGATGATTCTGGTGATGTGGAAGAGCTTTATTCTAAAATGATTTAATTTTTATTTACTCATTTATTCAAGACATATCTTTTGAGCTCCTACTCTGTGACAGGTACTGTTTGAAGAATCACTGTTACTATGGTGAATAAGAAAACAGGGTCCACACCCTAATGGAGTTTTCATCCCAGTAGAAAGAGTCAGGAAATAAATAAGTAATTCTAGATTCACCCATGTCATAAAGAAAATAGGCAAGTGATATGAAAGAAACTGGATAGCAAAGGGCTCATTTAGCCAAGGTGGCCAGGAAAGGCCTCCTTGAACAGATGATATCTGAAATGAGATTTGATGGATCAGAAGGAATGAGAAATGACAGAAGCCTAGAAAATATATACCAAATACAGGTAAGAGCAAATGAAAATGTTCTTTATATAATTGGGAAAGGGCAAAAAGGGGCCAGCATGGATAGAGAATTGAGAACAAGGAGAGAATAGCATGAAGTAGAGATGGGGAAGTAGAGGCCAGGTCTTGCAAAGATTTGTAGGCCATAGTCTGGAGGCTGGACCTTATCAACATACCATGGAAGTCTACTGAAGGGATTGAAGCAGGTGATGGGCATGATATGATCATTCTGGCTATCTGGAAGTATGGATTGAGTGGGAGCATGGAAGCAGGTTGACCTGTTAGCAGAATTAGCAGTTTGGATCCTAGCTCATGAGTTTCTACATTGCAAAATGGATATTTACTTCACAAATATTTTCTAGAATCTTTGTGTTAGACATTCTGCTAGGTCTTAGTGACCTGAACATAAATCAGAAATGGTCTGTACCTCTTAGGAACTCACACTCTCATGCGGAGGATCTTTAAATAACTGGAAAACGCTATGTTGAGTGCCATTATTATAAACTTGTTTATATAAAATTCGAGGAAAGAACAGAGGATGCAGAATAAATACAAGCTCTGAAATTTGGAGTGGTTTTCACAAAAGAGTCTGTTAAAGGATGAATAGAGACTTAGCAGATGTATAAAGAAGAGAAGAGCATTACAATAGAGGGCAAATAATAACAGCTTATTTTATTGGGCACTAATAGTGCAGTGCACCATTTTAAGCACTTTATGTTAATAACTCAGTTATTTTTCATAATTCAGCCTGAAATAAGGTCCTGCAATGAACCCCATTTTACAGATGAGACATAGAGAGTTTAAGTAACTTACCTGAGGTTACATATCTAAGTGGTGGTGAGAGGTGTTCAGCTCAGACTGTCCAGCGGTTCTATTATTAACCCCTATACCATTGACCTCTATGTTGCCATGACCATAAAGGTTGAAAGAAAGCATACATTCTGGAGACCATAGAGATGTCTAGTGTGATTATAGCTTTGGGGGAGAGGGAGAGTGCAATGAAGATAGATGAGTACTCTGAGGCCAAAGGGTGTTTCATGTCACATTGAAGACCAGATTTTACCCTGTAGTGGTTGGGGGGCTAGCCAACGTATATAAGCAGATAATATTAATGTTCTAGAAGTAGCACTTGGGCAGCACTGCAGGGAAATAGATTGGACATGAGAGAAACTGGCAAAAAGTTTGAAGACTATTGCAATAGTCCAAGTGAAAGATGATGATCATAAAAAATAATACTGTACAAGATGGTTGCAAGAATCACAGGAGGTAATACATATAAAAGTGTCCCTTAAACTGTAAAATGCTGAACATCTGGAAGGTATTGTTGACAAAAAGGATAAAGAAGTGCTGTTTCCTACTGGGGGAGAGTAAGCCACAGCAGAATATAAGCTGTGTGTGGTCTCCAGGTAAGTTTCTAATTTCCTCACCTTTAGCTCAGGGAGAACAAAGGAAAGCATTGCTCAAGTTCTGAGGGAATCTAATACAAGGATAAGCTGTTGTGGCAGGCGTGCGATTCTTTGCTTCCACCAGGTTTTAGAAAGGGGCACCTCTCTCCACTAGGGCGGATGTGGGCCTGGGCTCAGCCTTAGGTGGCATTCACACCATCTACAATTTCCTCTCAGCTGTTAGAAGCCTCCTTCCCCCGTATTGTAAACTACAATGGCCTGGATATCATTGAGAGTTCACAGTTATTGATTTTTCAAGCTAAAAAGCAAACATACCCAGCTGGAGGATGCTGTATACCAGGAAGATGAACAGGGACCTTCCCAGTTTGTCTTATGTTTGGGAAATGTGTCCTGCTCTCTACATCCAGCTTTGTGAGCACATGCGGTAAATCAGAGCCTCTCACCCTGACACTTGACACTTAATTAACTGGAGGGGAAAATCTTTGTTTCCCCAGAAGTAAGGGAAGAACAAAAATATCTCTGCCTCAGAGATTAAATCTTTCTTAACAGAACTTAGCCCAAGATAGAAACAGTAGTTTCGTAAGAGTTCACTTACCTCATGCCAGTAGAAAGAGATGACATGATGTCATGGCAGGTGCTTGAACTTTACAGTCAGGCAGACTTGGATTTTAACTCTACCTCCTCCATATACTGGAGTGGGCCTGAAAGTTGGGATAATCTTTGTGACTTCCAGCTTCTTAATGTGAAAAATGGGATAATAGTAAATTATCTAATGACAGGTGCTCAATAGTATTTGTTGAATGAATGTTGTTAAGATTATATGGCACAG